CTAAATAATAATGATGGCCTTCTGCGGAAAATTCAGTCGGCCGAAAAGTATTCGTAAGTAATTAAAGTTGTATATTTGTAAAAAAAAAACGAGTAATTTTCAAATATACCTATATTTTTATATCTAAAATTCTACATTTTGGAATGATGTGCATATTGTATTATTTGAATGATGATTGATCTAAACAATTTTCTGTTTTCTCGACCTTCCCCTCCCATTTCCCCCTTTCCACCTTTTCTTCAAAATTATTTTCGCCTTCGTATCGACAAAATGCGCCTGCCGCGCACTTTTCTGCTCTTGGCGGATTGTTTTGGCTTTGTCCCGGATTTTGACATTTTTGATGTAGTTACTTTAATAATTACACGAATCAATATATTCTAAACATATTTTATACATATGGCGGTGCGGAAAACTTTTAGAAAGAACAATTGGGATTTTTAATATGTTATATCAGTTTTGTGCGTTTTTATTTCGTATTAAACAACGTTAAAAGAATGATCAATTTAAATGTCAAAAATTATATTGAAAAAATAAACAAATGTAAGAAATAAAACAAATCTAAAGAAATTGTTCAATGTATCGCCAGTGTTGTTATCGACACATATTGATACGACGCAAGGCACCTTCAGAAGTTGTTCTCAAAATTTCTTTATGGGACAATTCTGAAAACGCCTGTCTCACTTTCTAAGTGGGGTTAAACTGGTATACCTCTCATTAAAAGTTCTTATTGTTCTTTCTAAAACTTTTCCGCACTCGCCATATTTATAAGACATATGTTTAGATTCTAAACTTTAGAATATCTTGGTTAGTGTAATTATTATCACCCATTGTCAATTGTCAGAGACGTTGACATTGACAATACTTCATAAATTCGAAATAAAAGACAATCCAACGCACACTACTGATATTACAAATAAAAAAGTAAGCGGTTTTTTTCACATCTTTTGTAAATACTCATTTTAGGTATAGGGAATGCTGCAGCATTTTAATCGAAAACAATATTTTGTGTGAAATGATGTGAAAATTGTATGGTAGATTTGTTTTAAATGGGAAAGTTATTGGTATTTAAAGTGACAAAAAAGTCAACGTAAATACCAGACACCCTGTATAAAATTTTCAAATACTAATAATGGCTTTCAATAGAGTGCTCCTTAGTTAACAAATTTTAGAATTTCTAGAATTTTACGTAAAATTTAAAAATGCAATAATCTTTATATGGATCCATTTGAAAAACCAAAGTTGATATCACTTCCGGTTTAACCGGAAGTGATAACCCATGGAAAATAATTTTTTAAAATAGTTAACATTGCCTTATAATTACTATACAAATTGATATCATTTTCCGTTCTCCATAATTTTTTAATGAATAAGTTAGGTTACAATTATTGTAATTAGCACAGCCCAATACGTGTGGTATAGTGTATAATTTATAGATTTATAGCTCGTGTTCAAATATTAATAATTTATAATATTAAGAAAAAAACCGAAAATAACCTAAAAACCGTTTTAAATTTAAAGGGTTCGGGTTCGGTCACTAGATCTCGAGTTACATGTAAAAATAATATGGGTTCGGTTACAGTTACCGTCCACAAATAAATACCGGTTCCGGTCCGGTTTTCTGTCCAAAAACGTTCCGGTCCGAGTGACCCAGACCGGTTCCCCGATGCAAAGTGTTTTTTATTCCAATTCACAACTGAATGAATTTCATACTTGACACACTGTGACTGGCAGTGCGACTTAAAATCTGGCAGTGCAACTTAAAATCTGGCAGTGCGACTTAAAATCTGGCAGTTCGACTTAAAATCTGACAATGCTACTTAAAATTTGACACTGCCACTTAAAATATAGCACTGCATTTTAAAAACATACACTGCCTGATTTTGATAAAAAAACATAGTAATGGCCATCGTAGAAAATACACCTTCCGCAAGTGTTTTTTTAACAAGCGTGAGGAAAAAGTTTTGACTTTAATAATTTTACATTTAGACATTTTTCCTTAATTATTCTTGCTTTAATTAACAGATTGGTAACATCAACATACATCAACTAGAGTTGACCTATTTTCTGAGTAATCCCAACCTTAATGATTTTGCTATTTAACACTTATTTTCCTAAGAAAGTTTCTTTTTGTCCACGGTTTGAGAGGTAGGGCGACAACCACTGCAATGGTTATCCTCTTACTCCTTAAGTATATAACTTTTGTAATAGAAGGTTGTGCTTTCATATTTATTTAAACCACGTCAAATGTGAGTTTTTATTGATTTTTTGGAAAGTTACGATTATTACGATTACGATTATTATTATTATTAAAACCTGTAGATAACTAGATAACTAAACAAAAAATTAGGGCTGTACAATTTAGCCGGTTAAGCCGGCTAAAAAAGTTAGCTAAGTTAATTAGCTAGCTAACTGACCAGTTAGCTAATTTAACCGGTTAACTAAATTAGCTTAGCTAATTAGCTGGCGGCTTAACCGGTTAATCTAACTTACCTCGGCTAATTAGCTAACGGTTAACCGGCTAAACGGCTAATTCTTTAAGCTATTTAATGATTTAATTAATTTAAAAGCCATTTTTATAAATAAATATAAAATATTATTTAACATAATAAATTACTCTATTATCGTTTGTCATAAAAGCACTATCAATATTTTTTTAACCTGTCCGTAAATAAGAAATCATTATATATCTTAAAAAATTAGCCGTTTAGCCGTTAGCTTATTACCTGAGCTAAGCTAGATTAACCGGTTAAGCCACCAGCTAATTAGCTAAGCTAATTTAGTTAACCGGTTAAATTAGCTAAGCTGATCAGTTAGCTAGCTATTTAAATTAGCTAACTTTTTAGCCGGCTTAAGGCCGGTTTATCAATGTCCAGTTAAAGTTGCAGTTAGTTATCTGGCAGATAATTTCCATGGATACCATTGTTCTCAAAACGATTGATATATAATTTAACTCTCAGATGGACTAACTGGAACTTTAACCCACCGAAAACGAATAACGATTAGCAATATGTTTCATTTATAAATATAGGGAATCTTGCGTTTATGTTTCTACATTTATTTCATTTTATTTGTGTACCTCAACAAGTAGCAACTAAGTACTAAGAATAATTTAAGTTTTTGTTTTATGTTACATGTTTATTTGTTATGCACTAGCAAGGTTTTTTTTTCATGATAGATAGTTGTTTTATTTACCATTCGTGCGAGTCATATTGTATATAAGGTAAATATCTACCTACTTGCCATATTCGGGACTTCGGGACTAGTCCCGGGATTTTTTAGCTGGGTCCCGAACTCCCGATTGGCCTTTTGGTCCCGGGACTTGGATCCGTGTCCACCCGCGCATTAAGCAATTTTTCTTAAAAATGTTTTAAAATTCCACTCTTAAGTTCGAGCTCCTTGTGTAGACTCCATGATCGTTACCATGGAGCCAACAGAAGGAGTCCAAACTTGTGTAAATTTCTTAAATGTATACACTGACTAGCTTATGTATGCAATAACTGATTTTGATAAGTAAATGTATTCAAAAGCGCATTAACTTTCTTACTTAGTAGTAGATATATATATATATATATATATATATACATATATATATATATATATATATATATATATATATATATAGAAGCCACAAAGGTAGCAAAAGTGAGGTTGGTTGGTTGTGTTGGATGTTTGGGTTGGTTAATTTTAGTTTATGCAAACTAAAATTAACCAACTAAATCAACGAAACAACCCACAAAACGAACTAACAGTAAATGTAGGTACGCATTTTAAATGCGGCATTTACCAATACTATAGTATGGAACAAATGTAAATATCTGTATACTTTTACTATAGTAAAAGTAGGTATACAGAAATTTACATTTGTTTCATACTTTTAGTAACATTTTACGTTAATGTACCTATAAACAAGCTATTGTTACTGTATTACACTTTTACTTGATGCTTGTAGTAAATGTATGCATTTCCTAGTAAATGCACGCATTTTTTAATTTTTCACGTACACTTACTAGTTTTTGAAAACATCTACTGAAATGTATACTTTGACTGTAACATATACAAATAGCTTCCTAAAGAGGGCACTGGTGTTCCGTTGATTGTTTAGTTTGTGTATGATCGTTACTTTCCAAAAAATTAATAAAATTCATAGACACAAATATTATTTTCAAAAACACTTTTCAAATAATATATTATTCATATTATTCAATGAATAATATGAATAATATTCATATATGAACATTATTGACTTTTATACACGATGACATTATAATGACAATTATAACAAAAATTCTTTGACGTAAACGTCTTTTTATAGCCCGAGGGCGTTATTATGACCCAGTGGGCTATAATGAAACGTCAAAAATTAAAAACAACAATGTTACACCATTTGATATATTCGAAGTAAGTTTTTTCGTATAAAGATTTTGATTTTTCCGGCAGCAGGCCGCAATTTTTCGCCTTTTCAGCTGCTTCCTCAATTTCATTAATCTTTAAATTTTAAAATTGACTGATGTCAGTTGACATTATAATATGACAATTATAACAAAAATTCTTTGACGTAAACGTCTTTAAAAACAATAATATATTAAAAATAATAATATATTAATCGTGCATAAAGTTTTGTATGCATTGCTGGCATAACTGGTTTTTATGGTCCTACGACGCTTTTCTAGCCCGGACCATAAAAACCTTATTATGCCCTTAATACATAAATAACTATTATTTTACATTTACCATTACCATCGAAAATTTTATATAAAATGCAAATTTGTATGTTCTTTGTTAATTTAAATATAACATCAGATTCTATCCCGGCATTCTCCATATTTAAAACTTGTAATTGCATCTACGCCTGTTGTAATCATATTAATAATTAGGTATTAGTGTTTACGACTAAAACTCTGGGGTTATTCCCTATTGTTACCCTATTAAATGGAAAATGTCTAGCTTGATGGATTGTCATCTTCAGTCTGTTAAATAATATAATAATAATCACTTTTTAGTTATCTGGGATACTACTCGCCCATGTCGATGGAGGGGGCCAATCCTGAATATCTTCTTCAGACCATTGCAAGACTACGACAAGCTCTTAATGCTGATGAATTAGAAAAGTAAGTAATTTTCTAAAAAAAAGTTCTAATTTTTGTATTTATACAACTGTTATTCGTATGTTCAATGTTCACAGAGCGTTGTAGATAACACTACCTTTGTTTGTATTATATGTCTTAAATGTTATTAAACCATTTATCATTTTAATTAATGATTGTTGTGTACCTACATCCAATAATCCTTGACAATCAAACAAAATATACGATTGGTTTTTAATAAAGCATTTTAAAATAAAATAATAAATAACTTGTTACGTTGAGTTACTTTTAAGTAGCAACACATTATTACATAAATTTTTTAACAATATAATTAAATAAAACCTACATGATCTCGTAGACTTTTGTTGGATATTCATGAACAATTTCAATAACTTTGCTTTATTATAAAACTTAAAGGTTAAAATATGCAACATTGCATTGCTTAGTGCTAATAAATAAAATAAATAAATATTTTTTTAAAGAAACAGCATTTACCTACGAGGGTGGGTCAATAAATCCTCACAAAATAATAGAACAGCACATTATTTGTGGTTGATTCATTTTTTAACATAGTTTTAGTACCTCGTCCAGCCTTTTGTAACTTTTTTTGTTAAAAGAATAATATTTTAAAGGCCCTTAAACTTTGACGTCAATTGTTTTCTGCCGACTTACTTCTTTATGCTCGCGGCAGCCATATTTCCGATATCCTTTTTATATCCAATTTTCTGTGCAATATAAAAATTATTAAGCTATATGATATGCTTGTGCCAGTGTATGCACTCATTTACTAAAGTCCATTATTTTATTGCGAATGTTGTCAATAATTTCTGATGTGGTTACATCATTTAAACATATTAAACAATTTTCATCAAATGTGGATGTACATCTACGTTAAAATTCATTCACGTCATTTTGAACAGTTCCTTTTGAATGGTAGTTTAGATGTTCCATAAACTTTATCTAATATGGATTTAATTTCTTTCAATGTTTTAAATTAAAGTCTATAATCCCTGCACAAAACTCGTTTGTTTCAATCTTCCGAAAATAACAAAAGTTGTAAAATTGTAAAAAGGAAACGACGCGATGAACAGTAGCTTAGGGGTCATTCATTAATTACGTGAGGTGTTTAGGGGGGGGAGGGGGTCGAGCCAAACCTCACCCAATCTCACGTGGGGGGGAGGGTGGTCTCGGCAAATATCACGTAATTTTTTTTTCAAAAGAAACAATGTAAACTTGTGAGAAAACGAGGGTTAAATTAAGTAAAAAACTTATTTAAACTTACTTATTAAAACTATACATTTAAAAAAATCTCACGTGAGATTAAGGGGGGGAGGGGGTCGAGCAAAATCTCACGATATCTCACCAAGGGGAGGGAGGGGGTCAAAAAATCGCCAAAATTGCCTCACGTAATTAATGAACGGTCCCTTACTGACAGATTGTACTTAGAAATATACTTGTTTTGCTATTACTTTTTTAATTTGTTAAATATTTAGTTAAATTTCGTATGCTTCTGCAATATTAAGGTGTATTTAAATCAAAGCCAACAGAAGTGAACCAACGAATTCGTTTGCTTAAGCTTGCGTAATTTAGATGGCGAACACAACGAAAGGGAACAAAATCGTTTGTGTTCTCTTATGCCCCGTCGCGTGTCGGTTATTCATTGAATCATTAAAGGAAACCCAAAAAAAATAAAGAAACTCGTGCAAAAGTTTGTTTACTAAAACGAACGTACGGGCGAATACTCATTAATTCTTTCGTTAGTTCGCTTTAATAACATAAGTTTACAAATTCCGGCCAACTTTTGGACCTGAGCAGATTACAACGATTTTTGACGTTATTTGATGCGCTGAATTCGAATCTTAAATCCGTTTGGCAACATTGGTTCTAGTTTTTCAGTTTTCGCAGGTGAAGGGCAGGATTTTCAGTACTTAATCAAGTTGTTGCCGAATTTGTCGTACGCAAAAATCAAAGAAGGAATATTTATCGGATCTGATATTCGAAAAATATTGTCCGACGGAAACTATACAAAATGTTTAACGCCCGATAAAGCGGTAGCATGGACTTCTTTTTGAAGTGTTGTTCACAACTTTCTTGGTAACCGCAAATCCCCGGATTTCAAGCAAATCATCGGCAATTTGTTGCAAAATTACCGCAAGATTGGATCTCGGATGTCTCTCAAGATGCATTTCCTCTATTCCCACCTCGATTTTTTCCCTGAAAACTTGGGCGATATGAGCGACGAACAGGGAGAGCGGCTACACCAAGATCTCGGAAACATTGAAAGGAGATACCAAGAATTTTGGGATGAACGCATGATAAGCGAGTATTGTTGGACTCTAATGCGTGAAACGGATCCGAAAAGACTTAGTTCCACCGCTCTTCATTTCTAATTTACCACTTTTAATTGCCATTAAATAAATATAATTGCCAAAGATCGTACAAATTTAATTTATTTACTATCTCGAAGACTAGAACCAATCTTAAAAATCGGAGTGAAGATTTGGATTCAGCGCCCCAAGTTACCTTAAAAACAACTTTTGGTTACTCAGGTCCAAAAGCGTGTATACTTGTGTAATTGAAGTTCAATTTGGGCGGACCCACCCTCATGACACTAGTTCTTTTTCTCTACGCAACTCTACAATCATTAGTCCAGTGCATTTAAAAATTTTTATAGGTTTGTTTTGGTAAATTTTTCAATGTAGACCTTGCATTGTTTACGGTTTACTCTTCAATTTAGCACTTGCTGTCTGTCTGAAATTTGGCATATATATATGGCAATAATATGGTAATATGTTAAAATGTTTATATGGTACCATGTTTCCATGCACATATGGTACCATTGTCGTAGCGTTTGCTCATTAGACTATCATTTGATTTTAGAGCCAGATTGCTCTTATCAGGGAAAATATGCAACAACGATGCTCTAGAGGAAATTAATAAAATGAGAAAGATTACTGAACATGTAAATAGCCAAAATAAATAAAATTTAATATTAAACAGATGTATACGCACAAGTGAAGGTATAAAGACAAATTTAAATACAAAAAAAAAGTTTAGGTATATACAAAAGTGCTCTTTTAGTTCTACCCTTACTTCTTAAGAAGTCCCATAAGCCAACTGAATGGCTTGTGCGGGTTAGGGGTAGGAACGGACCGCAGGCTTAAAGTCCCCCCCCGAAGGACTATTACACAAAAAACAAAGTTTACCTATATACAAAAGTGCTCTTTTAGTTCTACCCTTACTTCTTAAGAAGTCCCATAAGCCAACTGAATGGCTTGTGCGGGTTATGGGTAGGAACGGACCGCAGGCTTAAAGTCCCCCCCGAATCCCCTGGTGGGATTCCAACCCACGACCTCCGGCTTGTAGTCAGCAGCACTAACCACTAGTCCACCGTCGGCGGTGTGCAAAAAATTATAAGATAAAATAAACGTAAACAATCTTCTTTAAAACAAGCTTTTATAGAACTAAAAATTAAAAAATAATATGTATTATTTAGTATATGGAGTTAAATAAACAGTAAAACAGAAACAGACAAACTAAAAAAAATTAAAATTAACTTTTAATATTCAAAATACAGTAGATATTTTATTTATTTTAATTTGGTGTCGGGTTTCATAACATAAAACAGATTTATTGAGCATTCCGTGTCCTTAAAAGTTAAGGAACCGCAGCTGACCAGATAATTGTTGTTGCATGTTTTTTTTTGTATGATAGTTTGGACCAATCTAGCTCTAAAATCATAATACGTTTAATGAAAGAACTCTATTTACATACCTTGGTACTATATTGTTACCATACCATATATCCATGGTACAATGAAACCATATTATTGCATTGTTTCTGAAGTTACATATAATATTATATATGCCAATTTCCAGCTCAATCAAATGCAAGTGCAACTTCGACCGTGAATTGGAGGGCGAAAAATCATCCAATCGCGTTGATTTTTTAAAATTGAGTCCAGTTTATATAATAAACTGTCGATACGTCTCAGATGCACTGGAAAAGAGCTACCGAGCGAAAGGACTTTTGGCGAAACAGTTTCAACTTTGGACCCAAATAACTTTTTCCAGTATACTTTGGGTTTAAATTGAAAATTAAATTGACTTATGCGAAAACACTTATTAACTTTTTATTAATAAAAAGTTAAATAATGGCCTATAATAAATACCTTACCGTCAATTCTATATTTTAATCGCTTATTTGACTAGTTTTAAGACTATAAATAGGCAACTGTGTTAATACTGTGGCACACCATGAAGTCCCTCTTATCCCTAATTAAAGTGTCTATTTACATAATTTTGAAATTTGATAGAACAAAACAACATTTGCCAGATTGGAGGCGTTTGTGGTGAATATTTTAGGGCCTAACCGTGTAACTAGTATTATAAGGCTTACACAAAGTTACTGGTTCATTAGAACTACAAGCAATGGCGTTAAATATTCTATTGCTTGAAATTTGCTTTAACTTTAAATTAATTATTACAAAATGTATACATTGGGAATGTTGGTAATTTAATACAGGGTGATTCATAACTATTTTGGTAAATTTCTGGGGCGTAAAATAGTTAAACTTGTGCCGATCTTGCTTCTTTTCTGAGCTTTTGTACTTACGGTACACAGTATACCCCATTAATATTTTATTTATTACATAGCCTATAGTGTAGATCATTTAAAAAAATGTATAATTAGCCATGGGTGTTATGCGCCTTCAAAGTCTTTGCCTTTAAGCTGGGTAGGTTGATGGCGTTACTACTCTACTACTTAGTTATAAAAAGATATTTTTAAAAGGGCATCTTAAAATTATATATTTTATTTATTTTTAAATAAAAAAATAAAATAATTGCTTTAATATTAAGTGAATACAAATTTAGCTCTTGAAACCCCATAAAGAAATACTATACTGTATAGTACACTAGAATGTTAAAATTGCATTAAAGTAAAAAAAATATTACTAAAATTTATAATTTTTTATAGAAATATTAATTTTGTTATTATAAAGAACGCATAAAAGCCAATCAAGA